GCTGCTTCCGTATACTCTTCTCTCCGCACGACCCACGCCGTAGCAGCAAAGGCCACGGCAACCTAATGATTGTTTTAATCTCTTAATCAACTGATTTAACTCGCGCTGTCATCTTACCGAGATTGCTGCAAAAGCCATTCCCAACAGCTTCCCAAAAGCTTCGTAGGTGTTACATTTCCACAACGCCACATAGCGTTCAGCGACCATTGCAAACTACAATCAAAATGATTATCACCAAAAATTCTTTCTTCGTGTCTTGATATCTGACCTGCAAGCATGCACAGCAGTTCATGCAAAAACTCATCAGAAAACGTAGAATGAAGCAGATGTCAACCGGAATACCAAAGTAACACAGGTTGGATTGCGTCAGATAGTGATATAAGTGATACGTCTGAATTTGATATTCATTATACTCGCTATTTGAAATGAAAATGGAAATGCCAAAGATACAAATTTACGTGTGAAAGATGTTATTGTGAACACGAACCCTGCAATTACATACTATAAAGAAAGTTACTACTTCCAGTTAAGGGAAATTCTTACAATGTTTTACATAATTTTTATAAATGGCTGCGTTAATGATCTGGGTAAGCGTAAAATTAAATAAAAAATTTGGTAATTTCGGTAAAAGTTGCATTAGCTGTAGTCATCACAAAATGGCAATTATAATTATTAATTTAATTTTGCTGTAATCTTCTTGTAAGGCTTTCCCTTTATAGCGGTTTTTAGTAAGACCATAGGCACCTGCAGTACAGTGGTGGCAATGGAATGTAGAATATACACAAGCAGCATGGCCACGATCAGAATCTAAAGTATAGTTATCCATAAGGCTCAGAATTTAAATACGAAAACTCTTTGCACCAATTTTCAGACATAGCCTATGGTGTGATTTTCTAATTAAAGTATTACCCAAATACATAGATGATTGTTTCAGTAACTTTGAAAGACCAGCTTAACTTTTCTTTAATATCGTGTAGTGGAACGCTTTTGAAAGGCTGAGCTTAAATCGAATTATACAATAGAGTACTGGATGAAGAGTGGAAAAGCTGAATGCTACCGTCAAACATCAAAGATTTCTTAGGTTCCTTGCAATTATGTAGCGAAAAATGAGTAAGTAGGTTTACTTTTTAAAGACTTACCTTGCAGTTAACATGAAAATATGAATGACCAAATTTCACAATGACAATCATGGAGACTATTCCAGAAAGAAGGCTTGCAACGACATGTGAAATTAACACCGACAAAAATTTCACATCTGTTAAGAGTTCTTCCCATGATGAACAATTCATAAATTCTTCTGCAAAGCAATTAAATTATTCTAGAAATTCTATGTGAGATAGTCGCAAAGTGTTTCAGAGAATTCAAAAGGAACTGAAAGTGAGATAGCGTCTAGACTCCAATAGTGTATCATATATTTAACTTCATGCAATGTAGTAGTTAGCTAATTGCAGGGGAATCAGTTTTCGCCCATGCATATTTGAATTACATCAGCATATAACAATTAAAAATAAAAATTTGTATTGCAATTTTTTCAAACATCATTGTTCGTGCCATATCATAATACCGTGCTCACCTGTTTTGCACAAGAAAAAGAATTTTTTCTCCATTTACTGGTCAGAAAAATTTAACGTAAGCTGTGGTAGCTATCTGAGATGCTAAAGTAGACACTGCTTGCTCTCTTTCTCATTGAGAAGCAACGCGACAGTTATTTTTTCATCAACATTTGCTATATTGGCTTATAGACATATTTGATTATGTCACTATCGAACCATTTTACACTTCAGTTTTACAAATGAGCAGCTTTGCTGGTTTTGTTAGAAGAAGTTATCATAAAGCCGCATATATGCGGTGGAGGTACTTTAAAAGTGGTTGTTTTAACATTGCGTGAAACTTTTGGACTTGCTGTGATCAGGCATGAATTCAGTCAAAACTAATTCTTAGTTCGAATCTAAAAGCACGAAGTGAAACAGGGCTAAGATCTCAAAACTTTTGAATTGCACGGCATTATTTTTTATGTGGGTTCTTCATTGTACGGTTATCTGAAGGTGCACATGTAAGAACAACGCTACCTTGAATTTGATTATCTCACTATGGTTTTTTTTTGTAATGATTAGGATGATGAACACATCTCCTTGCACCGTACATAAATCTTACGTTGCAATTCAATGAAAGGAGAAATGGCCACATTTCATAATGACAACTACGGAGGCGATTCCAGAAAGGAAGCTTGCGGTAGGCTGAGAACTCAGAACTGTCAAAAAGCGCTTATTGGTAAGAGCTTTTTCCCATGTCGAACAATTCTAAATCATGAACAGTAATACCTAAATAATTAATATTAACTCTATCGATGGCATGAGCGAACACGT